TCATAGGACTAGGACACCCTATGTAGGCCATCATCAATTATTTTTGAATTCAGACTTCTGAATCCACTCAATTCAACGCCACCTTGCCTTTATGTGTCGTATTGTTTTCTCTGATTATGAATTCATTACGTCATATATATGTCATTATTACTTTGAATCATTTACAGATGATAATAACCTTTTTAACCTTTGAAACTTTACTATGAACCCCCCTAAATTCTTACATTTATGCAGATAATTCCCATACAATTGATTTTGTGCACTACTTCTCTGAGCATACACTACAAAAAAAAACATCAATTTGTAGTAGTTATTTTGTATGATTTGTAGCAATTTTAACGGTTACAGTTCAACGAACCGCACAAAATCTATTGTAGTAAACATTTTAGTCAAACCTGTTACAAAACTAGTAGCGGTTGCCCAAACTGCTACTAATGAACAAACCAGATGAGAACACCATGACAATCTTAGTAGCAGTTGAGAAATTGCTATAAAAAATGGCGGGAATTTTTTCCCCATTTATAATGGTTATAAAACTGCTAGTAACAGAAGCGCGAATTGTATAATGGCCGGAAAGAAAATTTGAATATTATTAGCAGTAAAAGAAGCGACTACTAATATTTGTGCGAAATTTTGATTTACTCATAACCAATATAAATTTACGCCATAAACTTGTCTATGGTCAAAGTGCTGTAAATTTGTAGTAGTTTACCCTAAAACTACCACAAACCTTACATCTTGTGGCAGCTGCAAACACGTGTATATTTTTTTTAGTGATAATTTAAAATTTAGGAGAATTATTTAAATATCAATCAAAATTTGAAGGGTTATATGTACACAAAAATAAAATTTAAGGGGTTCTATAATTGATAATCGAGGGTTATTTGCAAATTACACCTCACAACTTATGGAGGTTTATTATTAAACTTCAAAATTTAAGAATATTATTTATACATGATTCAAAGGTAAGGCATTTTACGTAATTTAGCATAAAATATATTAGGGGAAAAAAGCCTGCTATTCATAGTTTAACCTATTCTTTGTACTCTAAGACTACTAAAATATCTAGTTTTAATGTTAAGTTGCAACACGGATCAATCATTAATATTAATATATTTATAAGTTTTTAAAAGTCTTAAAGTTTGTACCAGATGTGAATTGCGTAATAACTCTATAGGGTCGTGCAAATGTACAAGTCCAACTTAATTATTATACAAATGCTTAAGAAGAAAGTAATTAGATATATATATCTATCATGTCCAATTGTGATTAGATATTTAAACTAAAATTTCATTTGTCAACATTTACTGCTGCAGTATTTTTTTTAATTTACTTGTTTATAAAATTGTCTTCTCCCTTTAATCTTCTCTTATAAGTTGAATATCGATCATTTAATTTATCATAAAACTTTTTACTTTGATCTATAATTAATATATATAGTTTAATTCAAGGCCAATATATATCTTTTTGAGTAGACAATATATATTAATTTGATCCCTGGTTTAAAGATAACCAAATGACTTATAAGAGAGAGAGAGAGTAAATTGTAAATTAATTTTTGAGGGGAGTCAAATTAAGAAATGCCTCGTCAATAAGGGATTAAATTGAGAACATAATTATCATTAATTAAATTAAATTTAGTAGTATAAAATTGCAGATTTAAACATCTATTATGAATTAAAGGTTGTCTGCTTTTGAAGCAGTTAAAAGCCTCAAGTTTCTTACTTCATTAACAAGAAGAAGTCAATTTTTAACACACACATAAATAATAAAAATTTTACGAGTCATGAATAAATTAATTTCTTATTTTTTTAACATGGGTAAAAGGGGGTCACAATCCTACATTAGTTGTGTGTGTGTGTGTGAGATAGATCTAGAAGTATGCCCTACTTTATCAACATTCACTACTCATCAAAAGTCAAAAATTTTTTATTGGGAATAATTGAGGTGTAAATTCTATTCCAGGGTGGTGACCAGATCTCTAAAAGGGTTAATTATTTTTTAACAAAAAAGCATCTCTGCACTTTCAAGGATCCGTCTTTCTCCAAATTTTTTCAAGAATTTACCTAATAAACCCAATTTACTTGAGTTTATTAATGATTCAGTTCTACTTCTTACCAAATGTACATATTTAATCCCAAAAGGCAGAGGGGATTGAACATTTAAAAATAAGATATCAAGTTTGAGCCTTATATACAGATGACAAAAATCATACCCAAAAAAAAAAGAATTTTTCAATTATGGTCTGACCTGAGTTAAATATTAAACAATCCCTCTGTATTTATATGTAAATCATTTTAAATCACTTAACACAAACGCAAAAAATTATTAAAATCAGTTTTATCTCTAGAGCTTTTCAAAAATTACCATAGCTCTTTGAAATTACCCTCATGAAATGATAATTAGTTTTTGATAGATTACTTAGCTAATTTTGATAGATTAAACAGGTCAAATAAAAAATATAATATGATCTTTCTAATATAGGTGTGTATATATCATTTTATAGGTTAGTTAAATTAGTTTGAGAAAATTAGTAGATATATATATATATATATATATGAAAGGCAAAATCAATTAGAGTTTTATATTCAAAACTAAATATAATCATCACTTAATTCTTATATTAGGGACTACAGAGAGTATATATATTTAAAAAAAGAGTATACAATGCTGCCTAAATTTTATAAAGTAGCATTAAATTTTGAATACTCAGAATTTTCTAGAATATTCCTTATATAAAACAGATGGAGTAGTTAGTATAACATTGAACACTGAGTTATTTGATTAAAAAAATATATGTATAATGGAAGCAACATATCTTTGTCTCTCCCATATTGCCCATTTTCCTTCCCCAATGAGTTTTTTTAATCAAATTATTGCACAGAAAGAACCTAAATGGTGATGACACAGAAACTTCATTAAGAAACTTCAATTGGACTGATGCCTCAACTTGGCTCACCCATTGAGATCATTCTGGCTTTGAATATAGTGAGAGAGAGAGAGAGAGAGAGGAAATTATAAATAAGAGGAAACAGAATGGGCATTATGAAAAAGAAGCATTATTATTGTCACCAAAATGAAGCAGAGGATGCCATGCCACCCAATTTTATATTGCTTTCAATGTTCAAACAGAAAATTAATCTTAAATCAACGTAGGGCCCACATTCTTTTGTTAATCCTCAGCCTATATTTGGCATGCAACAATATGATTAAAATTAAAATAGAATCAGCATTGGAATGATGACTAGAAATTCTGTTTGTAATCAAACGTAATTCTTTTATACTTATTTACGTCATTTAGTTCATTTTCTTAAAAAAATTATCTTCAAGCTAGCAAATATAATTAAGGGATTTTTTTAATAAAAAAACTAAATATTGATATGGTACCCTGTCAATTTAAGAAAGTTGTAGTTCAAAAGGACCCAAATGTAAATAAGGCATTTACAAGCGACTTGACTCTAATTCTCTCTATAATAAACAATACATAATAATAATAATAATAATAATAATAATAATAATAATAATAATAATAATAATAATAATGCAATAATAGTGAACTCTTGCATTCTTCTTTATCACACACACGTTCTCTATTGAGCCTTGTGATTTGTTAATGATGAAAACTATGTTGGGAAAACTTTTGCTCTTAAATTCTGATTAGTTGATAATGTTGAATAACATGGTTCAGATCTTTTTTTTTTTTTTAAAAAAAAGTGATCTCAACCTGTGACCCACCATCCATTTGTGCTTAAGTCAAATAAAACATCTTTAAATAAACCTTCTTTATTAAACTTTAATTCTTCTTGGCGCAACCATCTGACATTCTTTTATTCTTCTTTATCACACATTTCCTTTCTTTTGGCCAAAACCAATTAGACAAGAACAGAACTACCACCAGTGTTTGTTCTTCTTGTTTTAGAATATGTTAAATTAACCGAAGTGTTTTGATATTCCACTCCATAGCACTAACCAGGACAGATGGATGCCATGCCGTAAAACATTGGATTTTATCCTTTTATTATATCCCTCTTGAAACTTGGGAGGGTGTAACGAAATAGCTCTTTGGGGATGCTTTTATTCTTTTTATCCAAGTTAGTATCACACAAAGTTGCCAACTTTCCAAGTTATTCAAGCATTGGATTCCAATAGAAAAAAGTTGAATGATCTAGATTCCTCTGGGATATATTAACTTACATAAATGGATGACTTAGATTATTACAAAAGAAAAATGGATGGACTTAGATACGTTGTGAACAGAAAGAATCAAAGACTCATTGTTATCCTCTGTTCACAGTTCAAAGATCAGGACTTTTGTTACCGCAAGCACAGGAAAGGCCATCCCCTGTTTAAAGGGTACATGGGTTTTTTTTTTTTTTTTTAATAAATTCCAATGATACTTAGAAAATTTGTATTAAAAATTGAAATAGGTAACATTGAGAATGTTTGGAATTAGTTCCATTCTAAGAATGAATTTCTCAGTGGTTGATAGTATTCAAGAAAACAACCAATGGAGGAGCATGGGGTAGCAGGGTTATCCAATTATGTTTTTCTCTTTTGCAAATTATCTTCTTCTTCTTTTTTCAAATTGAAAAAAGGTGTAAACTCCACACCATTTTGTGCCTGATTTGCATATATTCTTTTTCTGTGGTGGCCGAATAGGTATTATCTTTGGGGACCCACATGTTCAAAAACACTTTATGTGGTGCAAGGCCATGCCAATATGCCTCATGCCACGGTCAAACCATTTTGTTGCACACTAATAGTGGGCTGCTTTATCCAAATTCAGATCAGTGCTAGAAAGAAAGAGAGTCAAGGCTGAGATGATTTTGTGTAATATTAAATCTCAATGGGATGAATGAAGGGGCCTCAAAACTTCAAAGGCTACTTAAAAGATCCCACTTGAATGGTGTTCGTTTTTTGGGATTTGAAAATTTTCTGCAAAACACTCCCACGATTCTTCATCATCATCATCAAATCTAATCACTTTCAGTCAGGGAATGTAAGTTGGAACTCGGAATATACTGATTATTATGAATTATTCACTTTAATAGCTTCTATAAAACAAGGATAAGCAAGCTGTTTGGCTCGTAGCTTAAGATAAAATTTCAGACATTACATTGTTATTGTACAAAATTTCACACTTCTTCCTCTGAAAATTGGGATATGATACAATGGACGCCTAGAGGCAGAAATTAGGTAAAGAGAAGCAGCCTGCTTGGAGACCTTACATATAATGAATGCTAGTCATCTATATTCTTCATGTATTCCTTGGAAAGTTTAGTTTCCAATATCAACTTTTGTTCTTTGATGAGTGAATAACCTGAGTCAAGCAAAGCCTCCACTGTTTGCTATCCAATGACGGGCAAAACCAGTCAGTTTTAACTTGAAATTCAAATTTGACCCCCCAAAAAAAAAATCAATGTGGCAGGATAAAGACAAAAGAATGTTCAAGCAGATACTCAAGTATGCTTTTTTGAAGCACCAATCAGGTTCAGCCAAGTGATATCTATGTGAATTTTCTAGCCTATTTTTGAAAGTACCTCAAATATCAGAAGTCTGACTTGAGAGATGTTTGTATTTGGCATTAAAGAGAACCCCCAAATATTGACAAATGAAGAAATCAATGTAGAAGAGCCAGCACTTTCTATTTATTCGATGCAAAAAAGCATCCATTTTTTAGAAATAGTGTAATAGTCACTGGGCGTGCATATCTCAAATGAATCATGGAAAAAAAAATACTGAGTTTAAGTGGATTAATTGCAATTGCAATTTGGTTACACATATCAATAATGAAAACCTTAATGGCATGTGAGGTCCTACGTTATTCCCTCTTTAGTTTCAGAAATCAAGTTTCAAATGTGATACTGAACAACAAATTGAAGGCGTAACAAGGTTAAAAAGCCTTGAACTTCGATCTTCTCTTAGTCAAAGACAAACTACATTCATATGGACATGATCAAGGATTATTCATAACTAATTTTGAGTTTTTGAATGGATCAGTTCTATTGATTTCAAAAGTGCTGAAAATCTACAGACCTTTATTTTTTCATGTTCAGATTAGCCCTTAGCATTTCATGTTCAACTGTAACTGATAAATGAACTAAAATAACAATTCATCAATAATCTAATCCACCACTTATAGCACAAGTAGGATGCCGAATAAAGGGATGAACAGGAAACTAGGGTTGATTAATATATACCTCTGGAGGAGTAAATACGGGAAGGCTGTTGTCCTTTCTCCTACTGAGAAGCTTCTTTCCAAAATTTTCAAAACCTCCGATATCATCAATCCACTAAAATGAAACAATAAACACACCACAAATTACATCCCTCGTTAATAAAAGTCCTTATTATAATATATAAATTTGACTTTTTTAACTTGCATTTCCCCCTCTCCTGTGTGGGCTGAAGGAACGTGTAATGGTAGTTGTCCAGACACAAACAATTGATAAAACTTCCTAATGTATTATAATGTAACAGAGCGAAGACTGACGAGGCAAGTTTGCAGATAATGATTTGTCTGTGCAATTGACTTCATCTGATTGTTTATCCAAAATCCAAAGTGGATAGTAAGTTCATTGCCGCATCAAGTCTCTTGTGATAATAATTATTTTCCTCATTTTCTAAACGGACCGAATCCAAGAGCTGCATTGTGAAAAATTCTGTTTACCCACCGTTAACTTTTAAATAGTACTATGCAAGAAGATAATTAACAATTAATAATCTTGCCACGTGAGAATATAACAATGGGGTGGAAATAACATTGTTCTTCCCAACCTAAACAAAGGCTTTTTTATACCTTCAAAATTGATCTGTCATATGTGCGGGACCTAAGAGCTCCATAAAAGTCCAAAGCTGAAAATAACCAAATCATCAATAGAACCGGTATATCAGGGATATCGGCCCTCATAGCTCCATAGTCAGAAGCATATTTGATAAATGAAGAAAGGCATATTCATGATACGCATTCAACAGGGAACAAGAACAATCTTTTAAGCAAGGAGCACAACAGACTATTGATAGGCTGGCATATTTAAATCTTACGAGCCCAAGGAAGGAATGAGGTAACTATAACATGTTCTACCTTCATGTTAATATCAGTGTATTCCTATGAAGTCAATGAAAAATTCATATACCTTGATTAGGAAAAGTGTCCACAACTCTCATAACTTCTTCCTTAGAAATGCCATCTTTTTCATACATTCTGTGAACGATATTGACAATATCTTCTCGGTTAGGTTGCCTGTTTCACATTCATAGACTACATCTCAGAGAGGAGACATGGTTCACCTAAATGCATGGAATGAGAAAAATTTAAGGAAAATACATAAGCCATATGACTATAACGTAAGCACAATAAAAATTGTGAAATATATGACTAACTTAATGTCAATCAAGAAACTATCATCTTCCTCACGGATCATTACTGTTGTTACCATAACGTTAAAAAAAAAAAAAAGCATAATGTTTAATATCAAGGTTAGTATCTAAACATCACGCAAAAAAACTGCTTCAAATTTCATAAATTGGAATTCCTACAACCATAGAGTAAGGTACTGTTTACCAGTAGAACTTTTCCATCCTTCCTTCGCGTATCAGTGGAGCATAAATAGTAGAAAAATCATTCCCCGTTACAATTATTGGAATTCTATTTGTGATATCAGTTTCTCGCCAATTTTGGCCAACACTAACTCTTGTTGGATTGTCTGCTAGATTCATAAGAGTTCCAACGACAATTTGATTGTTGACTGTCATTTGAGTATTGCCTACGTCAAAACAGAAGAATCATGTTCATTGAGGAGATGACCATAAAATTAAAGAAATAGAGCATGTGCAGATATAAAATCATATGAAAACGCACTAAGAACAGTGAATAAAATAAAGAGAACGACAATAAAGAGGTATTTATATTTCTCTCGTCTCTATATTTTCATTTCTCTGAATACAATCATATTTTAACTCACCAAATCTGCCAAGGCCAGCATCGATATCATTGATCATTAAACAGCTCATTTTTCCCTGAATCAAGAAGGAAATAATTATAGCATGTTAACTAACGAAGGAAGAGCAATGACATTAGTCAAGAAACAAATATTGCAGCTAGCTATACAACAGACACAGGCAATTGTTTCCAAGCTAATTACCCCAATAGTTTTTCAAATATGAAAGAATATTTAAATTGCATTATACTAATAGAAGACTTGAATTGATAATAATGAATCATTTAGAACATGCCAAAGTGCAAGACAATCCGAGCAAGTAACAGAAGCCCCACAGATGGGAGGAGTGCGGGGAAAATAGCATAGAAAAATAAATATTACTCAAGAAAATCTTATTGTAAACTTACAAAACTAACATCACTTTGTTGTTCAGTTATAGAAGGCATTTCTAGTACAAATATTACTTTATAAAGCATAAGAGAGTAGTGGAAGTTGGATTTGAAAATATCTAAGCCTAATCATGAACTGATCAGGAAGTTTTCTATTGTGTAATCATAACACCGTAAATGATGGAGTAGGGGGTTATAAAAGTTTAGTTAGCGAGAATATTAGAAGTGAACTTTAGAGCTAGCGCCTATAAATAAACGTACCTACCTACTTTTATTTTCAGATTATGCGTGAATAATATGGTTGCATACCTCTGTTCTGATTTCTCTTCTGTTCTTCTCTCAATTCCCCGTCTTCTCTCTCCAGTCCGAATTACAATCTTCCATCATTTTCTTTTTTTACGCATCTTTTTTTTTTTTTTTAAATCTTTACAGCCTGTTCATGAAATGACAGCTTATAGCTGCAGAGTTCCATTAAACATCAACTAAGGAAAACATTTTCTTATTGCTCATCTTTCTTTCTTTCTTTAGGTACATGTTCATCTTCTTTTAATAGATGAGTGAATCTTTTCACTCTCAAATGGTTTTTTTCCAAACTAAACGCCTTGTAACTGATCACATAAAGTTACACTTTTAACTTCCAACTAAGACATAGATATATTAGGAAAGAAAATGTTAAAATTAAAAGTCCTAACTTGATTCTGGATCACTTGAGATGCTGTTCTATAGCGGTCACGTATCAACCTTCCTGGCTCACCTGCACATGACATTTACTATATGGTCGGTGTGATCAGATTTACAAAAAGCAGTGCCTTAGAACAAATCACAGGAAAAGACATATCCATATATGCATATCTGGTCCATGAAAAACCATATAGGCATGCAAATAGGGTACAAAACTTCTGGGAAAAAAAAAAAAGACATGAAAAAGAACGCAGAGGTGCATAGCTAAATTACAGTTCAAAATGGGTAAAACCTTGCAGGAATTAAAACAATTTTTGAAGAGTACAATTAACCATTTTCTATATAGTTTATACGTGAGACATAACAATCATTGAATTAATATATCATAATAAATAGGCATTCCTTTATTTCTCTTTGAGTGTCGTTACTTTTATTGCCTTGAGACAACAGAATTGATGGAAGGAATCCAATTCCAGCTTACCAGCTCTTTCTGACTCCAATTCCCCAGCAGACATTATTACAGGTTCAACTCCCATTGCCTGAAATATGAGTTCTGTCTGAAATGACTTCCCCTGCCCTTTTCCTCCCCAAATGCCTGAAAAAGTGAAATTACAAGTGACTTTTTAGACCGACGGCATGAAAACGTACCTTGTATATTCAGATTATACTGAAGGATTCGTTGTTTTTGTTTAATTTCTTTTAGCCAGATTAAATTTGGTTAATAATGTGCGTTGATAAGTGACTGAAAAAAATCAGGGTAGAGGCTCAGTGTCAATACAAACATCCCTTTCTATTAGCAAGATCACCTTTTAACATAACACGCATCATGAAACACAAAAACGCATGTTCATCCTAGAAAAAGATATAATAATACCTAGTTACAACGCTTTTTCTTTCTTCAGGGTTTGACATGAACTTAAAGGGATTAATTTGTTGTTAATTTATACCTAGGATCAAGGGAACTTTAGTGTTGAGGATATGAGCAAGGTAGTTCTTCACAATGTGGCATACTGCATTCACAGAACACATTTACAAGAATACAAATCTATTAGTAACATATCAAAATTTAAAACTAAATGGCAGAGACCATTTCAGAAAGCTTATCCCAAAGAAATAAATCCAGAAGATACAAAATTTACCATTTCTACAAGTTTTTAACAGCGGAATAAAATGGTTATAATTGCATTAAAGACTTATAGACTAAACATAACCATAGGCAAGCATGCAGTAATGCAATAATGTGAGTTATAATTGATGGAGACAGCATCTAGGGAAAGATGGCAAAACAAATCACTTTTACCAAGCCCTGTTACTTCTTGAAATTGATTCATCACAATTTCTTTGCATTAGCCCAGTTTCCAGAGAACTTACCAACTTTATCCTGTCAAAAAGAGTTGAAACAACTTGAAAAATTGAAGTTTATAGAAAGAAAGAAATAAAATGTGCAGAGCAAGTTTACACGGTTATGATGGATATAGATGTTAACTAAAACATAAGGAATGACGTCCAGATCACTGCAGGCTGCAGTCACCCGACGAAGCAAATGTTATCATTTAAATCTCTTTTCCCCCTTGCCCTAACAAAAAGGACAAAAGGAGGAGGGGAAACTCTAACAAGCAATAAATTGATGCTCATGGAATGCAAGGAAGACGATGGTGAATTGATCAGTTCTCCAAAGGAACACAAGGAATTTGATGCAATGCATAAAATTCTATTTAAACAAGATAAATATGATTTTTTAATTAGACCAACATGCTGTTTAATGGGGCAACCAATCTCACAACATCTATCTAGTAATCAAAATGTTAGTACTCCATCCCATATTGTCATGGAGCATCGACCTCAATATAGACTGACATTTTCTGATAAGACCCTTCTTTGTTCACTTTGAATGCGAGAAATGGAAAGCACTGGAAAGGTTACTTTCTTACCATGAAGACAGGAGCGATGTAATAATCCCCTTGAATGTATTCAAATGACCTTGTCACTTTTTGACGGTAATCAAAAACAATGTCCGCTGCACCAAAAAGGAAAAAAGAAGTTACGAGATGAAAAAAGTGGAAGTAAAAGTATCAATAAACTAAACGAGGTAAATCTAAGAAAAATTACAATCTTTCCCGAGAAAATTCCCAGCAAAAAGGTCATCAATAACGCCAGCCCTCTGGCCAACAGCGATGTTCATATTATCAGCCTCTTGGCCCAGCCGATAAAGATAGTCTCTCCCTTCGGCGTCTTGGGCTTCCCAGGACGACTGATTAGAGAGCCTCTTCTTGACCTCGTCCCCGTCATTTTGACCAGTGCAACGAACAGAAAATGGGGATGAAGAGAAATTGGGGAAAGCAGGGCCTGAAGCCTTGAGAAGCGATAAAGATGAGAACTTGGAGAACTGAGAGGCAGAGCAACAGATTGAAGCCATTGAAGGATTGCTTTTGACGATGCTTAGCTCTCCGCTTTGATTGACTACAGTTGGTTTGGACCGTTGCGCGCCACAAAATGACCCTCATGCTTGTCTCTTTCGTCTTCGTTGTCTCTTTATTTACATCTTGCCCAGTAACATTTGATAGGCTAAACTATATATTTGGTATTTAAATTTTACATAATTTTAATTTGATCTTTTAATTTTAAAAAACATATATTTAGTCCTTAAATCCTATAATTATTAGGCTTAAATGATGATTTTTTATAATAATCATAATTATTTTAAAAATTAAATTTAATATATTAGGATTTAAAAATATTTTATCAATATTTAAAATTTCAATAGCATCCTGGTTTGTAAATAATTTTAAGATTAAAGAAGTAAAAATATGCTTTTAAAAGTAAGGAACTAAATTAAAACTCTATAAAATTAAAAACTAATATATACTTTACTTTATTCGATATAATTGACATTTAAAGCATGCTTCAATTTTTTCCGACCAGTATTTAAGGATTAAAAAGGAGGGGAAAAAAGGGTTCATTTAGGTTTTTATTCATAACACTAATAATATGATTACTCTTCTATTTTACAAACCTAAGGGATTAAAATTCCCTATGAGGAAATTTCTAGTCCTAACTTATTCAGGTACATAAAAAGATAGTACACCAATTTTACTTCAAAAATAAAAAACTGTGACTCAAACACATAAGATAGTGTCAGTCTGGATTTTTTTTTCCCCCCTTTCCAATTACATGAACTGTACTGTGATAAATAACCTCTTCTAATCACGCAACTGTGCGATCACAGCTTCCATTAGTCTGTTTAAGAAAACCCCAAAAGCCCATTTTGAAAATTGGTTTCTACAGAAGTACCCCACATACATATGGATTATTGAGAAGATGGATTGCTTTCTTAGACAGAGAGAAGGCAGAGAAAGAGTAACTCGATTCAAAAACAAGCGCAAGAACTAATTCGTCTGCTTAATTATAATTTGCTCTTGTATCGGAAAAAACTAAGAACATCAATGTCCCTTTTATATCTTAGTTTCATACTTTATAAGCAAAAGCACACAAATGATTGAGAGACTGGAAGTACATTTTGAAGCTAACTGTCTCTCATACTTCAAAGTTCTACATAGATTCTATAATCATACAGTGAAAAACGCTATTGCTGAGAACCTGAATTCTCAAGTAGCTTTAGAAAAACAGGTATTCTGCAAAGATTAATCTCACACCAGACATGTCAATATCAAGCCTTTCTTCTTAGCTGCAATTACAAACAACAATCTGATAATAAGTGACTAGTAACAAGTGATAGTGATAAATGATCATCTTGAAACATGACATCATATAATCTGATTTGTTACGCAGCCTCCATGAGTAGAAGTCCATTGTTCTCCACACTGATAGCAAAACTCATAGTGACACCTGCACAATCAAATCATTCCCTTCACCAGTACATCCATATCAAAAGGAAATACACATTCTTATTACTTAATCTCACGTGTATCTTGTCATTGAGAGTAATCCTGTTCAAAACATTATCAGACACCACATCTCCTAGAAGGGATTTAAACATTGGTTTGTCACATTATAAAGGACCAGCTCTTTTCACAAGAATCAACCTTATTTGAATACCCACAAAAAGAAATACTGCATTCAGTGATAGTGTTTTGAACATAATTGCTTCCAATAAAATAACACCCATGCTTATAGAAAAATTTTACAGCTAGATAAAACTTTCGATACAGTAAAGCCAAACACAAAGCTTGTCACAAACAAGTAGTTGAAGTATGACTACTCAGAAGCAGCAGTAAGAAAAACTGACCTACAAGTGATGTGCATGCATCCTTCTGTCTTCTCCACAATGAACTTGCAATTGGGACACCTTTTCCATTTCTTCTCTTTAGCAAGCTCTCTCACAATCAGATCTTGTCTCTCTTTCTCATTCTCATCCATTCCCTGAAATTCCTCACAGTCCACTCCAGGATGCCATGGAACATCACACTTTGCGCAGAACAGCCTGTGGCAAACAGGGCACTCTGATTCCCTTATAGCTTGATGATCTTCTTCATTCTCAATCAGCAACATAGCCGAGCAATCCTTAAAGGGGCAATAATATTTGGGGGCTGCCAGAAACAGAGCTTCGCACAGAGCTTGATCCCACCTTTCAAGCAACTCCTTGGGAAGCCATGGCCGACAAGCATCAAGCTCAAGAACACTTTTACAATCCAAACCAGGACAGGAAACTACTGTTATACTATCCTGAATTTTTATGGCCACTTGTTTAGTGACACAATCGGAACAAAACGAGTGGTGGCATCTCTGATTTCTGAACATCTGGGAAGCCTCTTTATTTTCTGCACAGATTTCGCAGATGACTTGCGAGGACTCGCCCGTTTCATTTGAGCATTTCACTTGGTCAGTTTCTGGGGTAGGGCAATTGTCAGCCATTTTTAAAGGAACAGAAGGTGATGAAGACGCAGGTAAAAGGAGTAAAGGAGGAGGAGGAGGAGGAGAAGGATCGTTGTTTGGCTTTTGGGAAGTGATCAAGGAAGAGTAAAGGGTTTCCTGAAGCTGCAAGCGTTGAGCACATTCATCATCGGTAAATGGGGCGCGACCATCACCATCTTCATCCTCATGAAACAGAGCTGACAGGAAGGAATCATCAGAACAGAGAAGATCGGAGGCGGAATCTTGAGCCATCTTTTAGTATTGTGTAATGTGCGAAGAAGGCGAGATGGTTCAGCTTGGCTTTACTTTGGGAGTGCTCTTGCGCTGCTTGGGAAAGTTACTTCCGCAAGAAAGCTTGACTTCCGGTCCGAAGTCCGATGGTCGTTTTGCTTTGTTTTGTTTTTTTTATTTAAAAGGAAACTCTTTTTTGGCTTTCATCCTTCACCCAATTAAAATTCCGTGTCTCAAATATATGATTTTATTACTGGTCAGTTCTTAAACTTCTAACTTATTAAAAAATTATTCTCTCAAGTTTACATTATTTACATTTTTGTCCTTTGTTACCACGGCTCATCCCCACTGATCATGGTAGCTTTCAAAAATTTGATTCAGAGTTTAAGTATAAAAATCAAAATCAAAGCTTGTTAAAAGATATAGAAATCATCTGTTAAATTCATATCAAAATTTATTAAACTGTAAGAATCATAATCAACGATTTAAAATTATAATGGCTAAAATTCAAAATTCAATCAAAACTATAGGAACTAATAATATATTAATCCTTTTAATAATCATAGTGCGGAGTACATCCTTTTTAAAGGTGTTAATATAAATATTGAGTAACAGTTACTCACTTACTCCTTACTCGGATCCTTTTTGAGATGAATGACTAATTCTTAAAAGTTAGTTAGATTAATACACATGTTGTAAATTTTTCTCTCAGAAATACTATAATTTAATAATGAGAAAATTAATGCCAACGACTTGAAGAGAATTATGTTCATTACCAAAAAAAAAATCTTAAAATTATAATTATTTAAAAACATCACATGTCAAAATATAAATTATTCCTAGCGAAATTTCCTCATTTGTCTCTCATCAAATCTCATGTTTGTTGATTAAAACATAAATCAAAATAGTTATGTCAAATTTTTTATATTCATTATGTCAAATTTTTTAATCACATATACTCATATGTTCTAATTTTTCCTGTGAGTTTATAATTTAACTTATTTTAACAATAGAACACGTGATTATATATGATCTGAGAACATGACATAATAAATATCAAAATTTGATATAAGTATTACCCTTAATTTTATTATTTTAAGCTTTTGTTTTAATTTGTTGTCAATACTATTTTTGAAATAATTTATAATATGAAAGAAAAATATTAAAATTAGCAATTGACTCATGAATAATAAAATAGATAATGTACAAATCAGTAGTGAATATTTAATGAAGATTTTTTGTATGCAACGGTTCTATAATCAAATGTGTTTAGAAGGGGATGTTTAGAAAAATGATGTAAAGATAATGTAGTGATTTCATAAAATGTTTTTCATTCTTATATATTTGTTTTGTTGTTAAAGGTATGATTCTTTTTATTATGATTAAAATGAAGGGACTTGATTTACGTGCATCGCACAGCTAGCACAATCTAATTTAATCAAATAAATATAAGTTTTGTTTATTACTCCTTTTTAATAAGAGTATAAAATTTTTTTAATAAGTACTAAAGATCAGATGTTATTATTTATAGAACCAAAACAGCTCATATTAATATTAATATGTAGTAAAATCAAAATCATCAGTTAACTATTTAATTATCAACTCTTTATCTCTGTTTTTTTTTCCCAACACTCTTTATCTCTTATCATAATGTTTTGAAATGGTATTTCTCAATGCGTATACGCTATAATGTTTTGTGTCATTATGTGTTTTATACCGAGTTGACTATTTTTCAATAGAAAGACGGTTTTTGTTATTTAAATATCATAATTTCTTTAATACTTAACCAAAATTTTGGTGGTTCCAAAATCCAACCCACTGATTGTTCAAAGGGGTTTTTTATTAGCTTTTCATAAATGATTTTATAAATATAAATATGTAAGAAAATTTTTGTTTCAATTTACAAAAAACAAATATTTTTTAAATGTTTTTTTGTGTTTCCAAACACACCTCAAGTCCAATCCCAGTAGTTATCCCCTCAATCAAAACTTTGTACATTTGATTACTTGAACTTAAAAGAGATGTTTTGAGCAGTTTTTTTAGAAGTAATTTTATGACATATGAGAAGAGTTTTGTTTTGACTCATGTAAAATCACTTTTTTTTTTTTTGGAAAATTGATCGTAACGGGTATCTAAATTCCCCGCCCCTTAGAGAGAAGTTTTCATAATGTTGGATTACAAAATTATTAATAGATTTGTACAACATGATGCTTCTGTTCAAATATACAAGCCGTGGAACAATCCATTTAATTTTGGATACACCAGGGCTTGCTTTTTAAATGCACGTTTATGTATGTACTTGACGTCACGATCTTTTAACTACGAAAAATTGAACATTATATTAGCAAGAAAACTTGAGGTTATCGATTATTTTCCTCCTTCTTTATGTGAGAGAATAAATAGAGAAGAGTGAACAAAACGTCCCTCACACACGATTTAGACTACTAGAATCTAAATTTGAGCAGCACAATGCAACAACAAGGAGGAAAAGAGAGTAAGTTAAAAGACTCAACAGCTGGTTGATAAATAGTTGAGGGAGGCAGCCGGTATTTTTTACATCAAAGTGACGACATTTTAAGACGGTATAATCTCTTATAATTTAGAAGTCAAAACTATTATTAGGGAAAACTAATTTGGAGGTTGGTATAGTTTTTCTTTTTTAATTTTGAATTAGGTCCCTACATTTCTTTTCTTCTTTTTATTGAATCCTTGAACTTTTTACCATTAGATTTGTTAATCTTTACTAATAAATAAGTGCTATTAGAAACTCTGAAACATCTCCTTCTATCTCAATCCACTCTTTCTCTCATTCCCCTCAATATCTTCTCCTTCACCATCCAACATTGCCACTGTTTGGAACCTCAAGTAGTTGAGCTCGCCATGTCTACTTCTTCTGTGGTCAATAAAAAAAAATTGTTCAGTCTTCTATTTTTGTTGGTTTGCTCTTTATTTTTGCTCATGAAAGGCACATTTGTTCTGGGCAACACTGTGGATATTGATAGTAGGTTAGTTGCTAATGAAGGGAAAGCCTAGCATTAGTTTAGTAAGTATTTCAACCGAACACTATCGATCGATGATGTTACCCAAATGAAGATTTTTTCGGAATAATGTTATAAATCAAAGCAATAAGTTGGTTTGTTCTCAGCACAAGAAAAACACATTTACAGATAATACACAAAATAACTATTTTTCTATGGCAAGCTTTATGACTTTACAAGTGCCAAGTAATTATTTTCATTTTGCACACAATATAAAAGAAATTTGGGTATAATGATAACACTCGGGAGGCTGATGATTTTCATGTGATTCTTCATCGTCCAAGTGGCCCTTCTCAATCTGACATTATGTGCTTTGCTCGTGTCCATGATACTAATACAAACTGAGTTACAAGTTAGTTGAAAATTGAGGGATCAAAAGATTAATTTTTCCTAAAAGAGAATAAGGACCTAATTCAAAATTGAGATAAATTATAATGACCTGCAAATTAATTTTTCTTCTTATTATTACTACACACCTTAAATTCGTCATAGCCAATGTATGCATGTATGTAATCATTTCTAGTTTTGATCATTATATTGTTTGTTACCACTTCCAATCCTTAATATAAGAACTAGTTGGTTAATTTGAGTAAATTAAGAAGGTTTGTTAGATTAGTTAGGGAAAATGGCTACAAAAAAAATCCCCCAATATGTGAAATTGCTAAATTTCCTCAATATGGAAAATGACCTCAGCACACCTAGTCCTATATTGTAAATATGAAATGAGGATGAAATGTCTAAAATGTCTCTCAACTATTTGAAAAAAAATGTTGTACTTGCGTCTATTTCTCTCCCCCCAGTTTTGATAACTTCCCTCCAATCTCTCCACTCTCTCCATCTCTACATTCTGTTCATTTTCGCTCAAGATGTTGCTTCCATTTTGTAGTAACAGTATCGGTGAAAGGAGTATTGTGCTAGAGAAGTGTGTATTTGCTATGGGAGAGGCGAACAGAGTAGTGATAGAGAAGTGATATGTCGTCATTGTTGAAGGCGAGGGAGAAGGTAGAGGCATCGTTGTACATTCGATGGCTTTTGTGTTTGGTGGGAATTTAAGTTTCTATGTTAAAATGATAGAATTTCCACAATTTCTTGGTGAATGACAAGTTTAGTAAGGTCAATGACAAGTTCAGTAACGCATATGACAAATTCTAATAAGCAATTCATAGGAATTTAAATTTTGTATTAAAATGACAGAATTTTCATAATTCTATAGCGAATGACAAGTTTAGTAAGGTTAATGACAAGCTCAATAATGCATATGACAAGTTTTGATAAGCAATTTATAGGAATTTAAGTTTCTATTTTAGAATGACAGAATTTTCATAATTTCTTGGCAAATAACAAGTTTAGGAAGGTCAATAACAAGTTCAATATCGCATATGACAAGTTCTGATAAGCAATTCATAAGAATTTAAGTTTATATGTTGATATAACAGAACTTTCACAATTCGTTGGCGAATGACAACTTCTGATAAGCAATTCATACAAATTTAATTTCCTATGTTTAAATGACAATTTTCATATTTATTTAGCAGATGACAAGTTCTGATAAGCAATTCATAACAAGTTTAGTAAGGCAAATGATAATTTCTGATAAGCAATTCATACAAATTTAATTTTCTATGTTCAAATGACAATTTCCAAATTTATTTAGTAGATGATAAGTTCTGATAAGCAATTCATGACAAATTTAGTAAGGCAAATGGCAACTTCTGATAAGTAACTCATACAAATCTAATTTTCTCTATTCAAATGACAATTTCCAGATTTATTTAGCAACTAAGAAGTTTTGATAAGCATTCCATGACAAGTTTAGTAAGATGAATGACAACTTTTGATAAGTAGTTTATACAAATTTAATTTTCTCTATTCAAATGACAATTTTCAAATTTATTTAGCAAATGATAAGTTCTGATAAGCAGATAACAAGTTTTGATAAGCAATTTATGGCAAGTTTAGTAAGACGGATGACAACTTCTAATAAGCAATTTATACAAATTTCATTTTCTCTGTTCAAGTGATAATTTCTAGATTTTTTTAGCAGATGACAAGTTCTGATAAGCAATTCATAACAAATTTAGTAAGGTGAATGACAACTTTTGATAAGCAATTTGTACAAATTTAATTTTCTATGTTCAAGTGATAATTTTTAGATTTCTTTAACAGATGACAAGTTCTGATAAGCATTTCATACGAATTTAATTTTCTCTGTTAAAATGACAGAATTTTCAGATTTCTTTAGGAAACGCAAGTTCAGTAAGGCAAATGACAGAATTTCTGTGTTTCTATCATTGCATTGTTACAACATGGAACTAATTAACATTACTTATTATTTTCATAAATCTTATTTTCATGATCCAGCTTCCACAATGTCCTCTTTGATTCTACGTTGAAGGTGGAGATGAACAGTGATAATGGCGTCCTTCTCCTCTTCGCTCATTCCAACTCTCACCTTCGAAGGTTGAAGAAGAAGGATCAGCCTCTCTTTCTTTTTACATCCAGTCACATCCTTTGGTTCTGTCAATGGCGTTCTATCTCTCTTGCCCATGATAATGAAGACAATGTTGGAACATAGAACTAGATTGGGAAAGATTGGGGGATAGAGAGAGAGGGATCCAGTAGAAGAGATAATGAGTGCAAATAAGGTTTTAAGAGATGATTTTGGGAGGATGGAACAAATAAAGATAGAGATGATGAGAGAGATTGAGAAATGGATATGGGAAGAGGATATGACACTACTACAAAGAAGAGTTTTCACGACGCTAATTTACGGCGGTTATTAGAAAAAACGTTGTAAAAAATATGACGGTGGCATTTCTGTAATTATAGGCGGACTTTTTACGGCGGTTATTTAAAAAACCGCCGTTAAAAGTCTATCAGAATTTTAAAATCCAACGCGCGATATTTTTCACTTTTCAGGGTCAGAGCTCATAGTCCCCCATATCATCCTCACTCTGTTTTCTCCCTCTCCCTACATTTGTCGATGTTTATCCATTGCTTCTATCATTTCCGCCATGTTCTTCCATCACCTCGCTGTTGCTGTTGCCGTCGCCGTCGCCTCATCCTCTTAGTTCTTATTTGTGAGTTTTTCACCTCCATTCTTTTCGTGGATTTCATAGTTTTGTGGTTTGATATGATTATTTTCTTTGGTTCAAAATATGATGTTTAATCTGAGTTTAAAGAGATCTAATTTTTAGCATATCTGAGTCTTTGATTTTATCAGATCTGAGTCTTTGATTTTATCTTTATGAAATCTTAGTTGCTTCGATTTGGTGGCTGAAGGTGAAGCTAAGTGACGCTATTACTCCATCAGAATGCTTTTAACTGGTGAGAGATTTCCTTTGAAGCTTTGTTCTCCCGTTCCATCTTGATCAGTAGGGTGAAACGTAGTCTAAAAAAAAAAAAAATTCACGGCGGTTATTTATATAACCGCCGTTAAAAGTCACATATCACGGCGGTTTAAGAACCGCCGTGAAATCCTCTATATTTTACGTCGATGGCATAGACGTCGGTCTCAAAACCGCCGTAAAAAGCTCATTTTAACCGCCATTAAATGTATTTTTTGCAGTAGTATGAGAAGCAAAAGGGGATTTCTGTCTTTTAATTGACATTTTATAATTCCTATTTGAGACTTGGTCTTTGACAAAAATTACATAAATTCAAGAACCCTAACTATAATTTTATATATTTAAGGGTCTTTATTTGCTATTTTCCCAATTAGTTATTGATAAACTCTTATTTTATTATAGAATTTGATATCATTTTATGGAGTTTATCATTATTATTATAAATTAATTGAATATTTTGAGCGATATTGGGAAGAAAAATAACCTCTGGAATTTGTGAACAAATGATCTTAATATGCTTATGTTTTTTCATAATTTTATTATTGAAATTATTAACGCAGTTTCCACTTTTATTTCAAGTTATGGACTAAAGAAGAATTAGGAAGAAATTGAAGATGCAATTAAGGCAGCATAGGATCAGAGATTATATAAACACAGCATATTATGGATTCTTCCCATGTTATCGAGCTCAAAGAGATTAGACTTAGGGGTAACCTAACATATAAAGCTGAAAAAAAAAAAGATTGTAGCTGCTAAAGACAAATAATTGAAGAATAAAACCATTAGACTTATAAAGATTATATGGAAGGGAATGGCTCCTGGATAGGCCATTTGGGAGATGAAGGAAAAGATGAGATAGTAGTACTCTTGTTTGTTCACGTAGGTATGTGTGTTAGTATGTGCGTCGAATTTTAGAAATAAAATTCTTTTAAAAAGGAACAAATCATAACATTTTTTATTTGTTTTTAATTATTTTTTATTTTGGAATTTAGTGACAATTATGACTTAGAATATATTATTAAAGAATAAAATGATTTAAAAAGGGTGCTAAAAATAATAATAATAAATTATTATTCACAAAAAATAATTAATAAATAATAATATAAGCATTAAATAAAATAATAATAGAAAAATGTGTGAAGGGGGGTGCTTTTGTAAAATAATTGTTTTTGATGTCTGTGAAAAAAGAAATGTCATTAACCCGGGGGGTGTGGTTGAGCGGTGGGGGCTCATCCTCCCTTAACCAAGTATCGAGGGTTCGATCCTTGCCTTAGGCATGGAAAAGCTTTAAAACCCCGGGCCAGCTGTCCCACCCATCGAGGTGCCTACAAGCCAGCGAAAGGATTAGTCACCGGGTCCGCCGGTGGATACCCTGATGTTTCATCAAAAAAAAAAAGAAATGTCATTACTATTACTATTTTTATTTTTAAAAAAGATTTTTATAACGAGATAAAAAGCCAAAATCTTAATCCTAAATTCTCTTTCCTATAAATTTTTCTTTTTCTCCTGCATTTCTTGCTCCTAGCTGCTACTTAATCTTCTCGCTCATACAGGTATCTCCTTAACCTTCAAGTTTTGTCTCAACTTTTACTTTTCCTCCTTCTTTATCCATTGGCTTATTTTATAGAAATTGTCCTATCAAATTGATTTTTTGCTCCATCATTTTACTGTGTGCCTAATCTTTTTCTATTTCTTCATGACCCTACTTCCTTTCTTAATCGTGTGTGAATGGGTGTGTATATTATTTATTTATCCCTCCGTTTGAGACCCTTCTGTACCGGCGTACCCTCCTCCATCAAATTATTATTATTATTATGATTACTTTTTGAATTTTTAGCCCTACAATCATAACTGGGTGCTTTTTTGTGTATGTTTATTCCATTAACCCTTTTCAGACTTTCGTCCTCTCTCTTGTGTGTGCATTTTTCAATTTATTCCGCTTGACAACCCAATTCATTTGTCCTTTCTTGCTTTCTTAAATGAGCGAGTTTAAGTAATCCTATGTTTCAACACTGTACATGTGCGGGTTTAAATATATGAAGAATTACAATAAAATCTTAATCAAAAAAATAATTACAAAATGAATTTCAAAAATTGTTATTTTTTATTTTAAGACTTGTCATTATATGCTGCTTAGATTGTTATTTGAACTTTTTAATAATTATTTTTTTCTTAAAATCTCATAATAATTCTCTCTTAAATTATATATATATATATATGCATGTTTCAAAAATCAAGACCCACATTTTCCCTTTAGCCTGTGAGTGTTGATATATGCAAAGACACACTTCAACATGAATCTGTTTTTGTCCTGACACTGGGGTTGTTTTATAATATATATATATATATATATTAATATATTAACAGGACAGTCAAATTTCCTCTTTTTTCTCATTTGCAACCTTCGCTCTTCATTATAAATTATAAATATATATATATATATATATATGATACAGTGTACAGTTGCTCCTTTCCTCCAGATATGTGGCGAAGACGCACACGTATATTTATATAAATATATGAAATATAATATAATATAATATTAAGTTTTATAAATTTAAATGTTTGAGTTTGATTGAAGACTTTTATTTACGAATAATTAATTTTGTGCTTACCTTAAAGTACTAGATCTATGAGAACTAGCTTGGAGGAGGGTTTTAAGATGTTAAAATGGCTCCACAATAATTTAAGTATATATTGATAAATATTTATGTGTGATTTTATAGACTTTCTTTGAGAGTTAATGAGTAACATTATGTGATTACCTGTAAACTAAGGAGTAATAGGGAACTTTAAAATTTCTTCCATATAGATATGAATTGTTTGTAGATGTTATTGTTGTTTATAGACATATGTTACAAATTAGTTATTTTAGTATGAAACGTATATACATGTTTACAAAGGATAAATATTGAGTTGGTTAATTATTTTTAGTATGAAATGTTATTAAATGATATTTGTAATAATTAAATATTTTAATAGTTATGATGATTAAAATATAAAGAATTATGCTGTTAATGATTTGTATTGGATTTTGATTCTTTTTTTTTTAATTGTGAAATAGTAGTATATTAATTGAAATGTTCTGTTGTACTATTATTTATCATTGCATACGCATTCTACGATGAGTTGAGGTCAGAAAGAGATTTGTATGTTGTTTAATTACCATATGATATGATATCACTCAGCGCAAAATAGATAGCACTTGTCAGGCCTCTTCTTCCATGGTTTTTTTTGACCAAGATTGAACATCCAAAAATAAGATATTAAGTTAGAGAAGATGGATTTCTTTCATAGAAACAGAGAAGGTAGAGAAAAAGTAACTCATTATGATTCAAAAACAAGCGTAAGAACTAATTCGTCTGATTAATCATAATTTGCTCTTGTACCGGAAAAACCTAAGCACATCAATGGCTCTATATAACTAAGAACATCAATGTCTCTATATATCTTAGTTTCATACTGTACAAGCAAAAGCACACAAATGATTGAGAGAGCCCATTCTGAAGCTAACTGTCTCCCATACTTCAAAGTTCTAGACAGATTCTATGATAATGCCGTGAAAAACACTATTGCTGAGAATTCAATATCAAGCCTTTCCTTTTCTTAGCTGCAATTACAAACCACAATCTGATAATAAATGACTGGTGACAAGTGATAGTGTTAAATGCTCATCTTGAAATATGGCATTATATAATCTAATTTGGTTCGCAGTCTCCATGAGTAGAAGTCCATTGTCCTCCACACCTATAGCAAAACTCATAATGACACCTGCACAATCAAATCTCATTACCTAATCTCACAAGTATCTTTTTATTGAGATCAATCCTGTTCAAAACACTATTAGGTGCTAAATGTAAGCACATCTTTTTGTAGGGATTCAAATATTAGTTCATCACGCTGGAAAGGACCGGCCTCTTCCACAAGACTCAATCCCTCTTTGAATACTTATGAGAAGAGGTGCTGAATTTAGTGACTGAAAATATTTTGAACATAATTACTCTCAACAAAATAATACCCATGATTATACAAAAAAATTTAACAGATGGATAAAACTTTCAACACAGTAAAGCCAAACAAAAAGCTTGTCATATGACTACTTGAGTACGAAGTAGCAGTAAGAAAAACTGACCTACAAACGATGTGCACGCATCCTTCTGTCTTCTCCACAAAGAACCTACAATTGGGACACCTTTTCCATTTCTGCTCTTTAGCAAGCTCTATCACAATCAGATCTTCTCTCTTTCTCTCATTCTCATCCATTCCCTGAAATTCCTCACAGTTAACTCCAGGATGCCATGGAACATCACACTTTGCGCAGAACAGTCTGTGGCAAACAGGGCACTCTGCTTCCCTTATAGCTTGATGATCTTCTCGTTCTTCATTCTCAATGAGCAACATAGCTGAGCAATCCTTAAAGGGACAGTAATATTTAGGGGCTGCCAGAAACAGAGCTTCGCACAAAGCCTGATCCCACCTTTCAAGCAAGTCCTTGGGAATCCATGGCCGACAAGCATCAAGCTCAAGAACACTTTTACAATCCAAACCAGGACAGGAAACTACCGTTATACCATCCTGAATTTTTATGGCCACTTGTTTAGTGACACAATCAGAACAAAACGAGTGGTGACATCTCTGATTTCTGAACATCTGGGAAGCCTCTTTAGTTTCTGCACAGATTTCGCAGATGACTTGCGAGGACTCACCCGTTTCATTTGAGCATTTCACGGGGTCAGTTTCTGGGGTAGGGCAATTGTCAGGCATTTTTAAAGGAGGAGAAGATGATGAAGACGAAGGTAAAAGGAGTAAAGGAGGAGGATCCTTGTTTGGCTCTTGGGAAGTGATCGAGGAAGAGTCAAGGGTTTGCTGAAACTGCAAGCGTTGAGCACATTCATCAACGGTAAATGGGGTGTGACCATCACCATCCTCATCCTCATGAAACAGAGCTGAGAGGGAAGAATCATCAGAACGGAGAAGATCAGAGGCGGAATCTTGAGGCATCTTTTAGTATTGTGTAATGTGCGAAGAAGGCGAGATGGTTCAGCTTAGCTTTACTTTGGAAGTATTTGATATAAAGCAAGCGTTGTGCTGCTTGGGAACCTACTTCCGCAAGAAGGCTTGACTTTCTTTTCGATCCGAAGTCCGGCGGTCGTTTTGTTTTGTTTTGTTTTGTTTTTTTCAAAAACGAAACTCGTTTTTTTTTTGCCCTAATCCTCCACTCAATTAAAATCCAGTCTCTGAAGTATATGACTCGTTATGATTTAGTTCATAAATTTTTAACTCACTTAAAATTTAGTCCTTCACATTTACCTCATTTATATTTCTGTCCTTTGTTACCTCAGTTCATCTCCACCCATCATGGTAGGTTTCAAAAATTTGTTTTGGGTCTAAGTATAGAAATCAAGATCATTAAAAGCGAACTTTTTTTTTTTTTGGCCTTAATCCTTCACTCAATTAAAATTCAGTCTTTTTAGGTATATGGCTCGCTATACTTCAGATCCTAAACTTTTAACTCATTTAAAATTTAATTCTTTACATTTACATTATTTATATTTTTATCCTTTGTTATCACAGCTCATCCCCATTCATTATGGTAGCTTTCAAAAAATTGATTTGAGTTTAAGTATAGAAATCAAAATCATTAAAAAATTTAAAAACCATTCATTAAATTCATACCAAATTTATTGAACTATGGGAATCAAAATCAACAATTTGAAATTATAAGGGCCAAAATTCAAAATTCAACCAAAATTATAGGAACTAATAATATATTTATCCTTTTAATAATCATAGTGCGGAGCGCATTCTTTTTAAAAGCATTAATATAAATATTAAGTAACAGTTACCAACTCACTTCTATCCTTTTTGAGATGAATGACTAATACTTAAAAGCTAGTTAGATTAATAAATAGTTGTAAATTTTTCTTTGAGAAATACTATAATTTAACAATGAGAAAATTAATGCCAACGACTTGAAGAGAATTGCATTCATTACAAAAAAATTATTAAAATTATAATTATTTAAAAACATCACATGTCAAAATATAAATTATTCCTAGTGAAATTTCCTAATTTGGCTCTCATCACATCTCATGTTTATTGATTAAAACATAAATCAAAATGGTTAGATGAAATTTCTCATATTCATTATATCAAGTTCTCCAATCATATATAGTCATATGTTCTAATTTTTCCTGTGAGTTTATAATTTAATCTATTTTAACAATAGGGCACATGATTATATATGATATGAGAACGTGACATATAATAAATATCGGGAACTTGATATAAGTATTGTCCTTAATTTTATTTTTTTAAAATTTTTTAATTTATTGTCAATATTACTTTTGAAATAATTTATAATATGAGAGAAAAATATTGAAATTAGCTATTGACTCATGAATAATAAACAAATAATGTATAAATCAGTAGTTAATATTTAATGAAGATTATTTGTATATAAGTGTTCTATAATCAAATGTGTTTAGAAGGAGATATTTAGAAAAATGATGTAAAGATAATGTAGAGATGTCATAAAATGTTTTTTCATTCTTATATATTTATTTTGTTGTTAAAGGTATGATTTTTTTATTATGATTAAAATGAAGGGACTTAGTTTATTATGATTAGCACAATCCATTTTAATCAAATAAATATAAGTTCTGTTCTTTTAATAATTACCTTATTATTACTTCTTTTTAATAAGAGTATAAAATTTTTTTAACAAGTACTAAATATGGTTATTGTTTATAGGACCAAAACAAACCATATTAATATTAATAGATACTAAAATCAAAATCATCAGTTAACTATTTAATTATCAACTACTTATCTTCTTCTTCTTCTTCTTTTTTGTTTTTGCCAACACTCTTTATCATCTACTCGTAATGTTTTGAAATGGTATTTCTCAAACGCACATATGCTATAATGTTTTATGGAATTATGTGTTTTATACCAAGTTGACTATTTTTCAACAGAAAGACGGTTTTTGTTGTGTTTGTTTGTGTTTCTAAAAATCCCTTAAGCCCAATTCTACTAGTACTCCCCTCAATCAAAACTCTGTGCATTTGATTACCTAAACTTAGAAAGATGTTTTGAGTAGTTTTTAAGAAATAATTTTACGATATAACTCGTATAAATTTTTTTATAAATTGATTGTAGGGGGAATCCAAACTCCCCGCCACTTAGAGAGAAGTTTTCATAACATTAGATTACAAAATTATTAATAGCTTTGTACAACATGATGCTTCTGTTCAAATATAAAAGTCATGGAATAATACATTTATTTTTGGACACATTAAGCAAAGTTACAATAAGGTGCTACCTAAAAGAATTAAATACAAAAAAGTCTTTTAAAATTATTAAATTAATCTGAAGTCCTAAAAAACTTTATTGTAATGAATTTTATTTGTTTTAACTGCCAAATTGTCGTTATCTTTTTTTAAAAGTATGTATTAATAGTTGAGAGTGTAGTGGTTAACAACTTAAGACGAAACGATTAATAACTATCACGATAGGTATTAACAACTCATGTATTACATTTTTGTAATGAGTTGAAAAAATATATTATCAATACTTGTTGTGATAGTTGTTAATCGTTATGTCTTAAATTATTAACGACTGTACTCTCAGTTATGAATACATACTTTTTAAAAAAAGATAAAAGAAATTTGATAATTAAACGAATAAAATTTATTATAATGAGTTCTTTTGGAACTTTAGTATAATTTAATGATTTTAAAAAGCTTTTTTGTATTTAATTTTTTTATATGAGACCTTGTTATAATTTTTCCTTTAACGTCACGATGTTTTAACTATAAAAAAATCTGAACATTGTATTAGCAAGAAAAGTTGAGGTTATCGATTATTTTCCTTCTTGTTTACGTGAGAAAATAAGTAGAGAAGAGTGAAGATTCCTCACACATGATTTAGGGAGTGTTTAGATTTCTCTAAGTGCTTTTTAAAACTATTTTTCTGTAAATCGAAACAAACCCTTTTATATATTTATTTCGTATAATATAAAATCACTTCTAAAATTATGATTTGATGTCCATCTAAATATTTTTTAGACTAGATTTGGACTACTAAAATTTAAACTTGGACAGCACTGGAGACGCAGCCACAAAAGAGGGAAAGAGAGAGAGTCAAAAGACTCAACAGTTGGGCGATAAAGAGCTGAGGAAGGGAGGCCGTATTTATTACGGGGACGACATTTTACGAAGGTATAATCTCTTATAACTTAGAAGTCAAAATTACTATTATTATTATTATTATTACCATGCACCTTAAATTCATCATAGCCCATGTATGCATGTATATAATCATTTCCAGTTTTTATTATTATATTGTTTCTTACTACCTCTAATCTTTAATATAAGAGCTAGTTGACTAAATGGAATAGATTAAGAAATTTTTTTAAATTAGTTATTGATAAATTCCTATTTTATTGCAGAATTTGATATCATTTTATGGGGTTTATCATTATTATTATGCATTAATTGAATATTTTTAGTGAAATTAGGAAGGAAAATAACTTCTGTGAATAAATGATCTTAATATGTTTATATTTTTCAGAATTAATCATTGAAATTGTTAAAGCAATTTCCGATTTTGTTTCAAGTTAGAGTCCGTTTGGTATGAGGAAAAATAAGAGAAGGGGAGAGAAGAAAAATTTTAATAAATTTAATTTAAAAAATTAAAAAAATAAGGTTAAAAGCTTTTATATTATTTTTTTTAAAATTTCAAAACCTAACTCTTTCAAAATTTTTAAATATATCTTATTAAAAAAAAATTTCTCCTTCCTTTCTTATTTTTTTCCGTACCAAACAGTACCTTATACGCTAAAAAGAATCCGCAAGAAATTGAAGGGGCAATTGAGGCAGCATAGGATCAGAGACCATAGAGACACAGCATTTTATGTATCACTCGAGAGATCACCATCATCATCTTCATTCTCGTGGGGTCCGCCACACTGCACAGATCCAGATTTGCGACCATCACCTCCTCTCATCACTTCCTTCACCATCATCGTCGTGTCCGCCCTGGCCACTTCACAATCATCTCAGATCGATCTCACTCTCCTCATCTCGTTCACTCTGTCGTCCTTCCATCCCGTCTTCCTCGATGGCGGCCATGTCTTCTAGCTCAAGTGGAGTTCACTTCAGCGGCACGCGTGGCTGATCGCTTGTGTTCACCCGGAGATGAAGCTTATGCCTGTGTCCTTGCTTCGCTGGCGAGTTTCTTTTCTTTCTTTAATTGTAGTCTGAATTTGTAATCTGGATTGGACGTGGTCTTTAGCTCATGTTATAATTTCAGAATTTGACATTGACACACACTTAACTGGAGTTATTGAATCTGATTTAGAATTACCTGAATAATGAATCATTTGCAAGTTCGAGTTGAAATTGCTATCTCTGTTTCTTTAGTAGAATTTGATTGTGGTTTCTGGTTGAGTTGATTCAGACTTCACAGTTAATTCAAATGATATTCAAGGTAAGGCACGGTTGTGGTTGCCGTAGAGATATTTGATTTGTTATGCTTCTAATCCTTGGCCGAATGATATCCAAGTTTATTATTAGGTTACTGCAGTTGTGGAATCTATCTAATTGATAAGTGAATTAACGAGTTGTTGGTTCAATTCCTTTCACTTGGTTAAAGCTCCGATATTCTCAAATGGACTAGGAAGTTGGAAATGACATTTCTAGGAGAACATTTCATTCATATTGACATCTTATCTTTCATTCACTTCACATCATCTCATTTGGATAAACCAGGAAATACAATCTGCATTTATAAAA